AAAAACTCAGAAAATTCATCTTAGTGGAACGAAATGAGTATATACTATGTTTTATGGACAAATAATGTTCATGCTTATGTGTCTCATCTTCAAGTTACTGTAGCTATAACTTTGTTAAACTAATCATTTGTTCTTATATTGTCGAGTCTTGATTTGTATCACACCGTCACTCTCAGCATACATATCCTTTGTCATTGTTAATGAAAGCAAGTAGTAGTATGTTAGCATAATATACAACATCATCAGATATGGAACTCTTATTCATTATTGTGCTTTAAGCATTGATCTTTCGTCGAATTTAATTGTTTTGTCCCAATTCAAACGACGCGTTGTTCTCTGCTTTTCATTATAAAGTCGAAAGCAACTATGATTGTAAGATTGTTACATGCTTATGAGTTGATATCAGTACTATGAATTTTAAAAAAAGTATTCTTGCTTTTCTTAGTTTATGATTTAACTCCTCGTGGAATCATTTGCAGGTCAAGTAACCTGAGAAGCCTTGGACTTGAAATGTTCTATTCAATGACTAGCAATGGACTTGTTAACGCAGTCGCAAAACTTCCACTGCTTGAAGTCCTCGAGCTCTATGAGACATGGCAAAACCTGGACTTGAAAGCTATAGGTCATTCGTGCCTGAAGCTAAAGACATTGAAGCTAAACTGCTCAGGTACCAAATTTGATGATGATGATGCCCTAACAATCGCCAAAAGCATGCCGGAACTACGTCACCTCCAGCTTATTGGGAATAGACTAACTGACATTGGGTTAAACGCCATTCTTGACAATTGTCCTCACCTGGAACACCTTGATTTACGCAAGTGTCTCAACATTACCCTTTCCGGGAATTTGGAGAAGCGATGTTTGGAGATGGTCAAAGGTTTTAGACGCCCCAATGATTCAACCGCTGATTATCCATATTATGCCGCTTTTTACGAGTCAGATGAAGAATTGGACTGTTTAAATAGCCGCGACGTCGACTACTATTCAGGTGGCGATGACTATGAATGGTACTAGAAACTGAATCCTTCTAAATAATGCAGAGACATGTTGTTTTGCTGGTCTTGTCCAGATCAGTGGCTAGTAGTGGTTATGACTTATGAACTCGTTCGTTTCCTTTTCGTAGTTTCGTGTGTCACTATTTCGTTTGAACTTTGTTGTTTTGATCAGAATATTTCTTTTGAACTTTTAAGAGCCCCATTTTAAGCTTAAAATTAATCATGGAATAATTCAAAAATATTTTAAAAAACATATCAAATAGAAAGAAAATACTCCCTCCGTTTTTTAATATAAAATGTTTTAGAGGTTTTTTTGTGTCATAATATAAGATGTTTTCAGATTTGTATGTAGCTTTTACCTTTTATTAAATACCGCGTAACCAATATTATTATGCAGTTTTTTTAACCAATATTGTTTGAAAGTATTTTTTTCTTAAATTTTGTGATTTAAGTCAAAACATCATATATTTAAAAATGGAGGGAGTACTTTTTAGTTTTTTCAAAAGTTAAAGAACAAATCACATTATTATATTTAAGGCTAACAATTTAATCGTTAGGAGATATAGTTTTAATATTTATATGGTTTCTTGTT